ATCTGTCTTAGAGACAGAAGGCAAAGTGAACAAACATTTGCTTCTTTCCAAAAGAAAAAAAAAAAGAAATCTTTGCCCCCCAGTTTTTTTTTTTCACTTTTCTGCAGAACAGCATGTGTTGTTCAAACCCAACAGAAACAGAGTTTTTTTTTTTTTTTTTTTGTCTGTCAGACTGCATATTCCACATCCGAGCGTCTTCAGAAACCACTGACCGAATTAGCATATTCCATGTTTGGTCTCCTGCAACTGCTAGAACCCCTCAACCAGAGAAAGGAAAACCGTACAGATGTGTGCAAGAACGGGTCAGTGTGTGTTAGCGAGAGTGGCAGGGCATGCTGGGGGGGATTAATACAGCCGCACAGAGGGTGGGTGGGGGTGGGGGGTGGCTCCCCATTCATGGCTGACTGATGTGCATCCCAAATTGATTTATGAAAACGGCCCTTAATCAATTATGTGTGGAGAAAGAGGCAGAGAGAGACAGAAGAAAAGACAGAGAGGGATTTTATTTCTAAGGAGGTAGACTGGGGAATAATAAAGGATGGAAAGGATTTAGCGAGCAGAGGGGAATGATGCTGCCCTGCTGAGGAATGTGTCCAGCGGATGTCGGTGTGTGCCATAGCTGTCCAGATCGGTGGATGTCATGGCTTGTCTTACCAAAGGTACTTGCATCCTTTTCCGCTTTTGCTTCACGTCACAGCCGCAGGCGTACACGATGTACCATTTTGGGATTTCATTTGGTAAACCAACACAGAGAATCCAGCACTGGGAATGAAGGAGAATGAGCTGTTGTTTTAATTTAAAGTTTTCTACAAGCCCCGTGGAGGCGCTCTGCTCAGATAACAGTAAGGTAAACCTTTGGGTGGGAGCCAGCATTTATTTCACAGAAAACTAAACACACCATGTTTCACTGTCCTATCCACAGTGAAACATGGTGGTGGCGGCATCATGCTGTGGAGATATTTTCTCCAGAAGGGAGAATGGAGTCGGTCAGATACTGGAAGAAAACTTGTTGGAGGCACCAAAAAGCTTTGCATCAAGAGTGGAAGTTCGCCTTCCAGCATGACAGCAACAGTAAACAACTTCACTCCAGTGTTAAAACGGCCCAGTCAAAGTCCGTTTGAGAGAGAATAGTCTCTTTCTCTGGATATGCAAAAAAAAAAAAAAAAAAAAATCAGACTGATGTTTAAAGAAGCATTTGGTACACATTTTTTAAGGATGTGTTTGTGTATCACATAAAGTCCCAATAAAAGCGTTGAGATTTGTGGTTGTGGCAGAACAAAATGGAAAAAAGTTCAGCAGGTATGAATACCTCCACAAGGCCCCATGCGACGCTTTTACGCATCTGCAGCAACTTTCATCCAAACGACGCACATCAGAAGTAGAAGGGAAAAATGTGCTCTGACATTAGGATGTTGCTGTAAACGCTTTATTTTTCCAGCAGTTTATTTGTCTGCATAGTGTTCTGGACCTGTGGAAAGCTTGTCGTCGGTGGTGGGGAAGCGGAGAGGAGAGGAGTGGAGTTGAGCAAAAGTGCAGTTGTTTAAAAAGCCCTTTTCCTGCCTTTAGCCATTGTGCCTGAGACAGGGGTGTGTGGGGGGGAAACGGAGGGTCACGCTGAGAGCTCGTTTCTCCTGCCTGTCAGAACTCTATCTGGGATCCAGCCGGAACTAATCAACTCCAATAGGCCTCCCCATTACCCAGGGTGCAATGGGCCGCAGGCCGGAGGCTGGCCGGTGGGAAACAGAGAACAGGAGGAGGCAGAGATCTCCCCCCCCCCCCCTCTCTCTCTCTCCCCTCCAAAACCTTCCCTACGCCACCACTACCCCTTCACACACGCAAGCACTCCATTACTCCACCAGCCCGTGCCGCACACACAACTCTCCCACTGTTTCACACTGAAGCAATAATAAACACTTGCAATAATATTTTCACAGCAGCCAACAGCCTGCTGCAGTTCAGAACCTCGTGCAGCTGTGGAGGACGCGTCCACACACACACACACCACTCACACGCATGCTTGCACACACGCAAACATGCACATGTCACGCCATGCACACACTCACATCTAGGTCACTCTGAGGGTCATTTTTTTTTTATTAGATAGGGGCAGGAATAATTCAAAGCACAACTTCATCAAGGCAAGCTGAAATAGGTAATGATAGCAGGTTTAGCTTACATATCAAACATTTTTTATTTTTTGTTTTCAACTGCTTTAACATTAAGAAAAAAATAAGTATCACATAAATAATGTTTTCCTACTGTGAAATTCTTTGAGTGAGTAAATATGTTGTTAGTGTCATTCAACAAGTTTAGGCAACTGTTTGAAAAAGAAACAGGAGATAATGAAAAAGAGAAAAGGTGACGATAAAAAAATTCTCATTGCAACATAACAGCCACAAAATCTGAGAAAAACTGAACTCTAGCAAAAACATTAATACTGCCCCCTGTTGCCTGTAGACCTGTACTGACACTGTGACAGCAAGTTTATTTTTTTATTTGTCTACATTCTTGGCATCACTGTAAAATACAACAAAATAAACGGGAAGAAAAATAACTAATTGCCAATGTATATTAACAAGTTCATCTCTATATTTGTTGCTGAAAGAAATATCCATTTGTTTTCCCTTTGTGGGAATCAAAATCACTAATCCAGCTAAATACAAAATAACAATTTATAGTTATAAATTCTCCATAAATTATATGGATTTAACATCCTAAAGTAGCGTCAGTGTTCATGTTAGGGTTTATGACATTAAAAAATAAATCACTATATCAAAAAAAAAAAAATAAAATAAAATAAAACTACCATCTACCTGAACTGTAACTAATGAAAATTAAATTAAATACATAATTATTTTTAAAATATATTTATATGCAATTGGGGAAACATTTATAAAAGTTTCCCATCCACCTCTTTAGCAGGGAGTGTAAAAAAAGTTCATTTGAATCACATAAATGTGAAATATATATATTATTTTCACATTTTAAAAAGTAATCATGCTACTGATTAAATCTGGGGGGTTTTGCAGTAAAAAAACTATTAAAAATGGAGCGAAATAAGAACATAAAATGGTTCAGCTCTCTGTAGAATCCGGGCTACATGCGAATAAGACCCGTGTCACTTTGTTTACCGATTCAAAAAGATTACCTCGAGTGTGTGCACAAGCTTCAGTGTGTGTTTTACTGAGTGATTCTGGAGTCCTTCACTGAGGTGAAGTGGGGGCACATTTAAATGAGTAAAAGAAAACAGCCCCCATCCGTATCCCCCCTCCCGCCTCCTCATAGTTTTATAACTGGTCTATAAATTCAGTGTAATCCAACCTACAAGACCGATATCCCCCTCCTCCACACTCACTATAACTCAGCTTTTGTGAGAATATTAGGAGTTTACCGAACGTGCTAAGTTGAAGCAGGAAGGTTGCGGTCACATGGGAACTTCCCCTGCAGTGGAGGAATATGCATTGAGGGGCACTGGGCGAAGGTTAATCCCCATTCACCCGGTCTTTCACTCAGCCTGCCCGGGCATAATGAGCCCTGCCCACCTCCCACTGCGTCGCTGCTGTGACCTCTGCCCCCAGGTTCACGTCCTCATCTGCAATATTTACTTCTTTTAAACCCCCCCCCCCACGCTGGACACATCATCATCATTCTCCGCACAGATCTGAAGATTCAGCATGAAACTCTTCTCACCTCTCCCCCGGGTCGACCTAAAACAGTAAAACGAAGCTCAGACAAGTGGAAACCAGCCACGGTGTGGTGATGTTTTAAGGAAATTTGGATTCAGGAAACGAGAAGCAGCATGAATTCAGATGAACACCTCTTTCTGTAGCTGCTTGTTGAAATCATATTTTTTTATGTTCTGGAAAATGAAACAGAAGAGTTATATTTGATATTTTAGATTACGTTGCTTCCATAGTTTAGCGACTTGTAGGAACCCAGGTTATAAGCACTCAACGCCCCCTTTTAATCACAGACTGCAGAATATGCCGTTTAGTGAATAACAAATTACAATTCGAGTCCTTCTGAGCACTAATAACTTGTCTTTGCTGTTATTATCTGAAGCTCTTTGTTCACAGTTGGAGGATTTTATACCAACAGACGTTTTTCAGTTCATCTTTGAATTGAATTTCGTTTCGAGTCTGCAGTGCCACCTGCTGACTGCCAAGTAAGCTGCACCTCCTCACCCTGAACATACAAAACGTGAACTGAGTCGAGTCAGCAGCCAAAGACAAAACCGATAAACAGAAAATGCTCAAATGAACTGTAAAAGAACTGCTGGAGAAAAAGTAATGACTACAATAAATCATTCACCGATTATTGGCCCAGTCTCCCATACAGCGCCGATGTTGTATTACAACCACAAAGTATTTTATTTAATAAATTTTATGCAGTTGAATTTTCCCACATTCTTCCGATCATGGAACGAGTTCCTGACTCAAGGACTATTTTGTTTTTAGTTCCTGGTGAAACGGATCAGCTCCATTTTAAAATCTAGAAGAATTAGACTTCTAGAATCTGGACTAGATAATCTGGACTACAATGATTAGGAGACTCGTGAAATCGGATTTTGTAATATTTTATACCTTTATTTTGTAAACCAGGTTCATGTCTCATTAAAAACCCAGATCTGAGAGCAAAAAAAAAAAAAAAAAAAAAAAAAAAAAAAAAAAAAAAAAAAAAAAAAGAATGAATGAAAAAAAAAAAGCTTCACTCAGTAAAATTTCTGAAACTGGGTGGACTGAACAAATCACATAAAAACTTTGTGACAAATAATAAGGTCAAGGAAGAGTCACCTAAATATAAACCAAAAAATAAATAAATAACAGTTGTTCTCCAGAAATGATTCATTGTATCGTTTGAAACATGAAATAAAGAACAGAGTGTGGAAACTCAAGCCAGACTTACTTCTCAGTTTTCCATACTTAAAAAGTTGGAAAATGATCTAATCAAATTTCCACAATTTTAAAGACTTTATGGGAAAAGAATACGTTTTTTTTTTGTTTTTTTTTGAGATCTTGAGATCATATGAAATCCTAATACAAGACTGTGGTTGGAAACTAATGACAAACGTTCAGTGGTAACGGATAAAGCACCTTTGCAAGACGTGCTAGATAAACAGCTATTTGATCCTCATGACTTTGATCAGTTAGTTTTAAATAAATCATTTTTGCAAGATAATTGTAAATATTGAACACAAATAAAATGAAAAAGCAGTAAGACCGTAAAAACAAACTGTTGAGTGGAAATATTGTCTAAATGGTTAGTAAGCTAAACTTAACCATACAAAGCAGTCTGGCTTCATGTCACTCATACATGTTTACTTTAGTTTTACTGCTATGTAACAACCAGGCTGCTCAGCTCAATTAACTCTGGTGAAAAAAATGTAAATAAAAAGTTGTGAACTCCTCACAGAAAATAAAACTTTTCATACAGTCAACATATAAACTGCAGGAATAAAAAATGCACTAAAACTATTTGGTTGAAAAATAGAATAAAAACATTCATTTTTGTCAGGTTCACTTAATCTTTTCCCTCGTGTCACCTGGTGTGAGCGACCAGAGAAAACCATCCTTCTCGTTCTTGCCGTTTCTCGTTGTGCTGAGGAAAGAGAAAAAGATTAAGTTGATCTAACAGCGTCGTAGATTGAGAACGTGGATATAACATGACGTTTATCAGTCTGCACCTTTATTTCTCCAGTCTTGCTCTCAAAACTCAAACTGTTGGATGCATCAGAACCAGCATATCTGCAACAAAGATGGCAGTAAATCATGCTGCGTGCGTACAGGGTGTAGATTTCCTCTAAATCGGCTCAGCCACTCACTGTCGATGAGACCCAAACTCCCTTTCAGGCGGCAGCACCGTCTCCTCTGAGCTCTGTCCTCCAGCTGAAAATCAAACTCTTCTTTTAATTCGTTGAAAAAGTAGAGGCGCAGAGCAGCACGCTTCTCTCACTCATCGTACCTGCCGCATTCGGGCTGACGGCTGAGGACGGGATGGGGGAGGCGGATGGGGAGATTCTGAGCGAAGCGCTTTGCTTCTGCTGCTCGATCAGCTCCAGCAGTCGACTCCTGGCTGCCGCGCTCTGCCTGTTGAGCTCCAGGAGGCGCTGTTCCACGCTCGGAGTGCTGGAGGACACTGCCTGAACAGAGATCAACATGGCTCTGGTGTGTTTTCACGTTCAAATTCTTTCCCTTTCATATATTGAAATGCCCAGAGTTCTCTCTCATGTTTCTTCAAATAGGCAATATTTGAAGATAAATACAGGCTTTAGACTCAAAACCTGCACACACTACAGCAGATAAGAAAGAAGGGATGCAAAATCGGATGAACTGATGAATGGACGACTGACTAGTGGATTGAACTATCAAGCCAAAAAAAGTATAAATAAAGAAGGAATGCAAGTATTTTTCTACGCTTTCTTACTATATTGTCATCATGAAGCAAATATTACTTTTCCAGTAAAAAAAGCTAATAGTCCGTCATATATACCAGTACTATACAGAATTAAGGCAATCTTGAGATCAGTTTTTTAAAGCTTATTTATTCTAAACAATGAGGTCTGCAGATTGTTTTTTTTACATTTTCATTAACTTGATGGAATTTGAATTTTAACTAATTTTGTCACAATACCCAACTTTTATTGCTGCTGATTATGTTGTGAAAATTAGCACAGCAGTTTTGATATGAAAGAATATTTAAAATATTATAAATGAGAACGATTACTTTTAAAGGTTTATCTAATTTCCTTTTAGCGACCAATCAGCGATCAATCAAACTTCTCACCTGAGAAGCTGAAGACGTTCCCTCTGGAGACTGAAGGTGCTGGACGGTCATCTTCCTCTCTCCAGCGCCGCTGGCTGGACCCGACTTGCTCCACTCGTTGCGGCCGTCGGCCAATCCCGCGTCCCCCGACCCGAGGCTCTTTGCCTGGCTGAGCTGAGCCTTGATCAGGTCGTTCTGCCTTTTCAGCTCAGTAATCTCAGCCAGCATGGCTGCAGGGGAGGGAAGGAGGGCGGGCTCATTAGAGGGCAGTGACGACGAGGAGACAGACCGACGTCTCGTGAGACCGGAGGTGGAGACGCGAGACTGGACGTTTTCACGGGAACGCTGGGTGTCTGACGGGGAAAGGCGTCGCTGCAGAGGTAACGCATGACCTCCTGGAGAAGAAGGCAAGGAATAAAATTTATCTTTTTTTTTTATTATTATTAAAATGAAGACAGATTAATTAATGCTTCCGGAAACTCACCAGGACTTTGTTGCCAGTTGTCACATTGTTGAGGCGGGGAAAGAAGGACAGCAGGAGAAACTCTAGTTTGTTGTGTCTTCTCATCTCCACCAGCAGACCGACAAACTGCACACCAATAATTCATTATCATCGCCTTACGATCAAAATACAGAAAATCTGCGCAACCAAATTCATCTGATTTATACCACAGGACTGGGACACTCTTCCACCGGAGTCTCTGCTTGGTTTTGTCTGTTCTCCCAGTAATCCCAGTCCACCCATCAAAAGGACCACAGAATCCAGCTTCTGCTCCAGATCTGCTGTCCGCTGCTGAAGCCCCGTCTGGTCAGTTCAACGACAGACAGAAAGAGTGACTAAATACTGAGGACTGACATCTCATCTGAATGCCATGATTGATCACTCCAGACAGGACACCACACTCAGCCTCACCTGCAGGGCGGCGCCCTCTTCTCTCAGGGTCATGGTTTCAGCTGTCAGAGCGTCCATAAGCCCTCGATGCTCCTTCAGCTCCTCCTGCAGTCGCCGCCGTTCCTCTGCTTCTTTCTGAGCTTCAGCTTCTCTCTGACAGAAAGGAGGCAGAGAAGGAAATAATGAAAGATTGAAGACGTGAAATCTGACAATAATTAGTCACCGTTTCCCCAAATCTGCTTTTTATGGAAGTCTGGTAAAAAAATAAAAAATAAAACAAGAAAGAAAACCTGTTCGAAGCTGCAACAGACTTGACACTGGGGCAGAGATTCACCTTGAAGCAGAACTAAACCCTGAAACCACTTTGCATCACTCCATTACAAAATGTTGTTGCCATGACAATATCAGCTTTGAGTTTTTTTTGTACCACTTTCTCTGTTTTCCCATCGTGGCATTATTGCCAACAATTTTTCTGAGCTTTAGTACCTCAATCACTTTGATCTATACCAGGTGTGGGAAAATAAACACCATGACCGATAGAAACTGGCTTTAATGAAAAAAGACAAATAATTCAACATTCAAATTGCTTAATTAGTCTACAATAAAAATACCTTTCTGAGGAGCTGGACCAAGCGTCCAATCGTGGAGACCAAGGCAACAGAGAATCCGGTAAGACCTTGTCTTCCACTGGGTTCCAGACTCCCTGTTGATTCAGGTGCTGTATCAGAACTCATTGTGTCCAAGTCCGCCTTGACTTGGCCCAACATGTCCTGCAGCAGGCCCAGGCTGGACTGGTCTCCACTAAGAGACGCAACTGAGGAGCCGTCCAGCTCCAAGGCCCGACAGGCGCCCTTCCTGGTCCTCTCAGTGTGTTTTCTTATTCTTCCTGAGAAAAATTTGAAATGTGGGACCGTTTTGGAAACACTAGAATTCAATTATTGAATAATTCATTCAAGATAAAATAAATAAATAAATAAATTAAACAAAATTAGCTTCTAGAAGATATTACCTGACTGGCGTGAAGGAAGTTCAGCATTCAGAACCTGAGAAACCAGGACAGAAGCCTCTTCCTCGTTTTGATCTGATGGACGCTGTTTGGTCAGAAAACGCTTAACAGCTGCCGTGGCGTTGAGAGCTGGAAAGGAAAAAGGCTGGATGAGTCTTTCTCTCAAACTTCAGTCAATTAAACAGAACATCTGGATGAAGCTTACCAGTTGGGTCAGGTGCTCTGCCTGATCTGATGGGGGTCACAGGGATGTTTTCTTTACCTCCTGCATGAGACCCGAGACGATGACCTTTCTGTTTCTGTGTCGCTCTCGTCAGAGTTTTTGTTTTCCTTATATTTGTCCTGTAAACACAATAATTGTGCAATGATTGACATTAACATTATCACATTTTAAGCTGTTTTTTTTTTTTTTTTTCACTTGTGAATGGGTAATGCAATAACCACCAGTCTTAAATCACAGGAAAGAACATCAAACTTTTATTTAAAACTATATCAATCATCACATATAAATTCATCTAAACTGCTTAATAGTCATTTAAATGGGAACATTTCAGATTAATTAAACCCAAGTTTAACAATGCAGATGAAGATGTGAACCTCTGACTGCAGTAATTTAATAATAATAGGCTGTTGGTGAATGGATTAATACCTTCTGATGAAACGACTCCCTGAACTGCTTGACAGATCCTCATCTCTGACATCTTCCCTTGAAACTTCTACTTCATTAAGTGCCTGAAAAAAAAAATAACAATTTTGCCTATAAAAATGCCATCATAACCTCTTAGGGAAATCTGAAAGGTAATAAAGTGTCATCATTTCATACCTCTTGATCCATTATGGATTGGCTGAGGAGGGACAGTTGGGTTGGAGGATCAGGTCTCTGGAGAACAGGCAGTTCTGAGTCAGAGTCACAGTTTGGAGCCACAGTCACGCTGGGGTGCCCTGCAGATGTACACATGTAGCAATAACTATACAGCTGAAGGAGACATCTAAAGAGACAAATATTCTAGAAACAAATGAATATAATCTCAGAGAGTTCATGTAGAAACATTCACCAGTCTGCCGTCGTGGAGCGTCTCCAAACAGGTCCTTGACCACAGCCAAGGCTCTGTCAGACTGGGCCAGCGCATCGTGCAGCAGCGGCTGTTCAGAGAAAACCTGCAGCAACACATCACCATTCCCCCAGTGAGCTGTGCTTGAAACTGTGTGGGAAACTAAAAAGGAAACCCAGGTTATTCATTTCACACACGTCTCTGATGATGCTGAGGCTGGTGTGGTCCAGGCCTGGGGAGCCGCCGGCGTGTCTGAGACGACGTTTCAGGGCTTTCTCTCTGAGCTCCCAGTGAGCTGCAGCTTTATTGTGAGACTTGTGGATCTCATGTCGATGACACTTAGGCGGAGAAAAATAAAAAGTCACATCCAGACATGCAAGCCTGATTGAGATCTATCTATACAGGCTCCATGTTGCAGCTGCAGCCAGAGGTGAATCTACTAAATACTGACTTGATGAGGGTGAATATTTATGCACTTACAAATATTTTAAATAAAATAAGTATTTAATTGTCGTTAGTTTCAAAGAAATCGATTTTCACATTGGCATTAAAGGATTTTTTAAACAAAAAAAAAAAGAAAAGAAAAAAAAAGCCAAATTTTGTTGACTGATTTCTACAACCAATAAAAGAGCAACACATCCAAGGTGTGAATGCTTTTTTTATGCACCGTAGCCAAGGAAGAAGTCCTTTATGCAGCTAACCAACATATCTGCAGCCAGATTCTTATGTACATAATTCACACTATGATATTTTCCCCTCATAAAAAAAGTTGTTATAAATAAAAGATCTTACCAGCTCAGCAGAAGTCAGCTTGTGCACAGAGAGATCATTGACAGTGCTCTGAAACGAAAAGGTCAATGATTAGATTTTAAAATAAAGTTGTCCAGCAAAATATGAAAAATAAAAACATGATTGTAGGTCTTGATGATATTAGTGCAACAAAAGTTGTGAGGTTCTACATATCCAGTCATAAAAAGGATCACATTCTGACATCTAAATCTAAGCTCAAGTGTATTTAAAAAAAAGGTCTGGTATAAAAATCCCATTTACCTCAAGTGTAAAGTATCTCCGCAACTCAATGAGAGACTGATAAAGTGACACAAAAATGAACGCAACATGTTTGTTCGAATCACGGTGGCTCTAAGATATTTATTTATGAGCGTCTCCATTTTCGCTTCACTTTAATAAATAATGGGTGTGGAATTTGCCTTCCTAAAACTGTACGCTTGAAATTTTACAATGTTTTCTGTGAATAGACTGCATCGAAATGACTATCCTCTCGTTTTCAGAGAGAGCTCAAAGCAAACAGAAGTTGATATCTTTAATCCCTGATTAATTAAATAATCCGTGCTACTTACCACCCAGTCTTTCTTGGGAGCTGCTGCCTTCTTAGGGCGAATGAGTCGTTTCCCTTTGGGTTGCTGCTGCTGCGGACGCCCCGTTCTCAGAAGCATTGCTCAGACAGGAAATTAGCTGAGAAGCGTTACAAAAAACAACAAACCTAGCGCGACCCTCCACTGCTTCACACCTCTGCTTTGGGCTTTAGGGCAAATTAAACCTAGAAAAAAAAATGTAATTATCGATGTAAAGTAACAATGAGCAGGAAAAGGAGATTTTACGCGGATATAAGCATAACAGAAAAGCTAACGAAAATTTGATACAATTTTTAAACTGTCGCGCGACACTTCCTGTGCTGTTGCCACGGATACCCTTGCTTCCTCCTCTGATCGCAGAACAAACTTAAAGGCTCACTACCGCCACCAACCGGCCTGACTGATGGACTGCATGAATGATTTATTCTTGTACTAAACGTTTTTTACTGACTAAAATGGTCACAAACAAAGCGCTGTATAGTAAGTGAAAATATAGAAATAATCTGTTAGCAACACCACAAAAGAAGAAACGCACATAGGCATCAAAAACAATACCTGAACTCATTCCACACCTCAGAGGAATGAGTGGGTTATAACATTTAAAGTGTGATATATGTTGCAGAATAAACAGCTACATTGTTGACTAGCAGGCACATTTCACTAGTCTTAAAAGAGCTCTTAGATACGGACAAAAGTTTCAAATGTGCACAGCTAACCTCAGTCTAGTCTTCACTGTCCCTATATTATTAAGGATTATGAGGAAAAAGTGTGAATGCAGGCCGTCACCACTAGATGGCAATGTTTCTGCTAATATCATGCTGAGAAAAAGAAAAAGAAAGAGCTGCAGGCAAATGCCAAACTGCCAAAAAAAGGTCTTTGCCTCAAGATCTATATATATATATATATAT